ACCCCGCCCATCTGGCTGGGTTTCCCCAGCCACTCTGGGCGGCTTCCAATAGAGTGTTAAAAACAATACAGCATTAAATATTAAAAAATTCCCTAAACAGGGCTGCCTTCAGATGTCTTTTAAAGATAAGATAGCTGCTTATTTCCTTCACATCTGGTGGGAGGGCGTTCCAAAGGGCGGGTGCCACTACCAAGAAGGCCCTCTGCCTGATTCCCTGTAGCTTTGCTTCTTGCAATGACGGAACCGCCAGAAGGCCCTCGGTGCTGGACCTCAGTGTCCGGGCTGAACGATGGGGATGGAGACGCTCCTTCAGGTATACTGGGCCTTTGAGGCCGTTTAGGGCTTTAAAGGTCAACATCAACACTTTGAATTGTGCTCGGAAACGTACTGGGAGCCAATGCAGATCTCTCAGGACCGGTGTTATGCGGTCTCGGCGGCCGCTTCCAGTCACCAGTCTAGCTGCCGCATTCTGGATTAATTGCAGTTTCCAGGTCACCTTCAAAGGTAGCCCCATGTAGAGCGCATTGCAGTAGTCCAAGCGGGAGATAACTAGAGAACTCTGGTGGCTCTCACAAGAGGACTGGGGGGGCATTTTTGGCCAGGGGGGTGCATTCCTTCCTGGGCGAACTCCTGAGGGGGCAGGATACCAGGTGCAGCTGGAGTCAAAAGTGGGAGGAGCAGGGGGTTGGGCTAAATGACCCCTAGGTACCCCTTCCAGCTGTACAATTCCAGCTGCACACTGCTCTGGCCTCCGTTCAGGCAAGCAGGAGGCATTATCAGAGCTCACGGGTGCATTTCCAGACAGGGGAGGGTCTGAAACAGGGCCAGGGAGGGGCATGGCTTGGGGAGAGATCCGGGGGCCACGTGGAGAAGTCTCGAGGGCCGCATTTGGCCTCAGGACCTAAGGAGAACCCTTTGCTCTGCTCTCTCCCTGCTAATGGCTCTGTCCCATCGAGTGTCCCATTTCGCCTTGGAAGAGGGCAAAGGTTTTCTGGGGAGCGGGGGCAGAGAGGGACTCTCTCCTCGCTTCGCTCAGTGCTGCCGCGATGCAGGGTACAATTTTATGCAAATGAGCGGGCTCCTTTGCATTACCATAACTTTCAATAATTAATGAGAACAGCTCGAGGGCTCAGATTCTCTTCTCATCTGCATATTTATTAAGGTCTATAAATGATTCAAGTTCACCCCCAGCGCCCCCCCCCAGCCCTCGGACACAGATCACTCTCCCTCCTACCTCCGGAAAAAAACCTCCTGGAGATATTTGTGTGTGCGACTGACCTATTCATTTTGCTTTGAGGGTGGGATTGAAGAACAGAAACAGACTTTGTGGCCATCAGTTTGGTCCTGTGTGCTAGAGAAAAGGTACACACACCCCAAAATCCTGCAAGCTTCCTTCCTTCCTTCCTTCCTTCCTTCCTTCCTTCCTTCCTCTCTCTCTCTCTCTCTCTCTCTCTCTCTCTCTCTCTCTCTCTCTCTCTCTCTCATATTGCAGTCCCCTTAGCTGAGCAACCAACTGCCCCATTTGCTCCTAATTGTTGCTACAAATGAAAATTTGGCAGCAGATTAACATCGTGCAAAATCCTTCCCTTTTCCCACCTCTGTGAGAAATCACACTAGGCTCCTCTAATGGTTTGGGGAGTCTCTTATTTTTTTTTTTAAAAAAAAAATCTTTGGGACTGAACAGGAATCACTGCTTTTCCTGCAAAATGTTGCTTTTGAGAACATTCTGCAGGGGGGGGGGGCGAATGACATGCTAACGTCACCCATCAAAACACTTGTTTTTTTGGGAGGGTGATTCTCCCCTGTCAACAGTCCCCCCCACAACCAACCCAAATAGCTACTTCCAGATTCCCCATTAAATTTGGCTTTAGGTGAAATCCAGGGATCTTGTATCTCCTTGGATCCTTTAACTCCTTGAGGTGGCCCAATGGACTCTCTTCTGGGGCTGATCTGCTCTGGCTGTCCCAAAATAAAGTGAATAAATTGTGTTGCACCCCACTCCAATCTCTGAGTGGTGGGAGACCAGGGGGTTCCAGGCACTTAGCCGGGGTTTGCTTTCCTTAGAAGGAAGGTTAGCTCAGTCTGCAGAGCTTGGCATTCTTAATCCCAGGGAGTTGAGCTCCGCATTGGGCGAAAGATTCCTGCACTGCAGGGGGTTGGACTAGATGACCCTCGGGATCCCTTCCAATTCTACAGTAGTATGATCCTCTGACTGTAGTGCCTTTAGGATATATGGTTTCATTTATGCACATGTACAACCTGGGCATAAGATGGAGGGGCTCACAGCATTCGCACGCCCAAATATCTTGCTTCTCCATGATTCACAGTTTTTGGATCCAGAATGGAGCAAGCAGGTCTCTGTGTCTCCAGCTTCCAGCTTGCTTGCAGCTCAGCTCACACACAACTTCCTGGTTACTCTCCTACCTAGAAGCTAGGCCAGCACTCATTCTTTTGGGATGTTGATGAGGGCACTTAACTACTGGCCAAAGCCATTACCTTAAGAAAGGAACTGGTTTGGAGGGTTTCTGTAGCCTCTTCTGCTAGACAGCTAGAGTCTAATCCAGGGGTCAGCAACCCTTTTCAGCCATGGGCCGGTCCACTGTCCCTCAGACCTTGTGGGGGACCGGACTATATTTTGAAGGAAAAAAATAATGAACGAATTCCTATGCCCCACAAATAACCCAGAGATGCATTTTAAATAAAAGCACATATTCTACTCATGTAAAAACATGCTGGTTCCCAGACCGTCTGCGGGCCGGATTTAGAAGGCGATTGGGCCAGATCTGGCCCCCAGGCCTTAGTTTGCCTACCCCTGGTCTAACCTATGGGTAGGCAAACTAAGGCCTGGGGGCCAGATCTGGCCCAATCGCCTTCTAAATCCGGAGTGAATGTGTGTGTGTGTGTGTGTGTGTGTGTGTGTGTTAAGACAGACAGAGAGTACATGTGAGGGCACACACAGTCATCCTTAGACATTGCACAAACCTGTTTACCTGCCATTGCAGCACACACTGGATTGCTCAGCGAGTGTGCAAGGATGCGCAGCAATTGTGCGGTTTTTCTAAGACTTCTCGGCTCCCCCCTGCCCCAGCCGAGTCAATTTTGCCAAGGCACTTGAGAGGGGAGAAGCTTCCCCCTCTCTGGCCCGGGGCCATAATGTCTGCGTGCTGGTAATGCGCCTCTATTAAGCTAAGCTATCTGATGATAATAAAATGGCACATTTAACTTTAAAACATTTCGCTTGACTCTGCGAAGTGTGTGTGTGTGGAGGGGGTGGGGGGGTGGAGAGCGGCTTCTTAGCCCACGAGGCTTCATCCTTTTCCATCTTCTTTCTTTTCATTTAAATGAATCAGAATGTGAAATGACTTCTCTTTTAAGAGTTTATTGTTCGGCTGTGAGTGGCACTAATGTGGCAGGGACTTTGGGGCTGAGGGACAATCCCTATTCTCAGTCCATCTGTTATAAGGAGAGTTTGGCTGAACATATGAAGCGCCTGCAGGATCAGGCCAAAGGGGGGGGGGGCTCATCTAGTCCAGCATCCCATATTCACAGTGGCCAACCAGATAGCCCCCCAAAAGGAAACCCGCAAATGGGACCTGGCCTTCTTCGTGAGGAATTGGGTAGAATCCCATCTGCATCTTTGACGTGACATCACCGTCAAATCAATGTCCAATTTTCATCTTTTAAAAATCAGGGACTAGTGACTTGGCTGGTTTTTAAAAGATGAAAATTGGGCATTCATGCATAGCTGTCAACGTTTCCCTTTTTTTAAGGGAAATTCCCTTATTCTGAATAGGATTCCACGCAAGAAAAGGGAAGAATTGACAGCTATGCAAGACATAACCTTGCCAACAAAGGTCTGTATAGTTAAAGCTCTGGTTTTCCCAGTAGTGATGTATGGAAGTGAGAGCTGGACCATAAAGAAGGCTGATCGCCGAAGAATGGATGCTTTTGAATTATGGTGCTGGAGGAGACTCTTGAGAGTCCCATGGACTGCAAGAAGATCAAACCTCTCCATTCTGAAGGAAATCAGCCCTGAGTGCTCACTGGAAGGACAGATCCTGAAGCTGAGACTCCAAGACTTTGGCCACCTCCTGAGAAGAGAAGACTCTCTGGAAAAGACCCTGATGTTGGGAAAGATGGAGGGCACAAGGAGAAGGGGACGACAGAGGACGAGATGGTGGGACAGTGTTCTCAAAGCTACCAGCATGAGTTTGACCAAGCTGCGGGAGGCAGTGGAAGACAGGAGTTCCTGGCGTGCTCTGGTCCAGGGGGTCACAAAGAGGCGGACATGACTAAACGACTCAACAACAACAAGACAAATTCCAAGGCCAAAATCACAAGGAATAGTGCCATGAGAGAAAACCTCCAGAGTCATTTGTGGTCCTTGTTCTTTGCAGACTGACAGCTGGTGTCAAAACACGCACATCAGTGTTTATGATGCCACAACACAAAGAGGATAGATCTGCTCATGTACAAAATCCCAGACTCTGCCCATGTGGGGCAGCCTTGTTGGGTTGTGGGTCTTGGTGACCACCCCAGATATCTTTCCATTTTGTGATACTTCTGCTGTTGTTCATTTCCATCAACCCGTTGGTTGAGTATTCATTCTGACTTGTTTGTGGGTAAGTTCAGAGGATGCACCCTGCATTTAAAGCACATTACTTCCCCCCAGGAATCCCAGGAACTGTAGCTTGCCCTTTGCAGAGCTGGAGTTCCTGGCACCCGTTGCAAAGCACAGTTCCCACGACCCCACCTTTTTCTGTGCTACCTGGAATTGCAGCTCCGTGATTAAATCCCACCTAAAAATAGTGTTAGTCTTGAAGTGCCCGTATCCATCAACCCCACAGTTATCTTTCTTCCCTAAAGACCGTAGCTGGAGAATAAAATGAGGAGTTGAAAATTGCTCCTCCAGTGCTGTCTAAGCACATGTATCTTCGTGAGGGATTCCCCCCCATCTGAGGAGCAGGTAAAAAAGGAAAGTCAAAAATAGAAACCACAAATTTTGTTTTCAACAGAAAGCAAGCATGTTATTTGGACAGAAACTGTCTCGTACAGTTAAAAGCTTCAGTACTTTCCATATATCTGGCCAATGAGTTAAACTTTATTACACTGAAAATACTGAACTCTTCCCAACAGCCTTGTTATTATTTGCTAATGCTGTGGATTTTCTCTTGCGTTAAAGAAAAAAGGGGGAAATAGCAGCAAGCTTTCACTCATTCAAAAAGAAATTATTTCTTAGGAGTTGTTCACATACACACAGCCGGCCGGGGTTTCCTGAGATTTCAAATCTCTCAGTTGGAAGATGAGGAAGGGGCATCCATTTCTTCCCACCTCCTGTCAATTTGGGGGTTTACAAGGGGGCCTTAAGCTGGGATGAGAAGCGGCTGATCTGAAATGGGACCAGGTCATAAGAAGGCTCCTCACCCAAGCTCAGCTGGCAAAGGATCTTCCCAACAACAGGGGCAAACTTGAACCCGTGACCTGTGGAAGAGAGACGAAGTGAGAACAGATGCGGACACCCAGCTGCTGCCGTCGGCGTAGACAATGCCAAGCAAGATAGACCAACCGTCAAACCCTGTTTGCCAGCTTCTTGCGGATCGGGGCTCCACATTTGCCTCGCATGCAGAACGTGCCGGGTTCAATCCCAGACATGTCTCCAGGCAGGACTGGGAGACACTCCCGGCATGAAACCCTGGAGAGCCATTGCTGCCAGCCAGTGTAGGGATGATAACTGAGTTAGGCAGACTGATGCTCTCGCTCATTAGAAAGCAGACTTTCCTTCCCCGTTTGGATTTTTGTTCTAAGGACATAAGAACTGCCCTGTGGTCTTCGGAGGAAGGGAAGTATGCAAATTTGATAAATAAATAAATGAAATAAATTGGAAGGGGCCACTGGATCAGGCCCATGGGCCTGTCTAGTCCAGCATCCTGTTCTCACAGTGACCGACTAAGGGCCTTTAATTGGAAATTGCTGCTTCCAACTCTGGAGGCAGATAGTAATAATAATAATAATAATAATAATAATAATAATAATAATAATAATTTATTGTTTATACCCCACCTATCTGGCTGGGTTTCCCCAGCCACTCTGGGTGGCTTCCAACAAAACACTAAAATACAATAACATATTAAGCATTAAAAGCTTCCCTGAACAGGCTTCCCTGCCTTCAGATGTCTTCTAAAAGTCTGGTAGTTGTTTTTCTCTTTGACATCTGGTGGGAGGGCGTTCCACAGGGCGGGTGCCACCACCGAAAAGGCCCTCTGCCTGGTTCCCTGTAGCTTTGCTTCTCACAGCGAGGGAACCGCCAGAAGGCCTTTGGCGCTAGACCTCAGTGTCCATTCCTCTTTTAAAGCCATCCAGGTTGGTGGTCATCGCTGCCTCCTGTGGCAGGGAGTTCCATAGTTTAAAAGAAGTCCTTTCCTTTCCTCTGTCCTGAACCTTCCAGCATTCAGCATCACCAGATGTCCTTGAGTTCTTGTGTTACGAGAGAAAGAGAGAAGCTTTTCTCGGTCCGCTTTCTTCAGGCCCTGCATAGTTTTACACTCTTCTATCCTGTTGTATCTTACTTGCTTTTTCTCCAAGTTAAAATGTCCCAAATTAGAAAGCTGCCTTATACTGAATCAAACCGTTGGTCCATTTAGCTCAGTATTGTCTACACTGACTGGCAGCAGCTCCCCAGAGTTTCAGGAAGAGCACCTTCTTGCCGTCCTCCGTTCCTTACCTGAAAATCCTGCCCCGATGGCGATATTTCTAAAACGCGGGTGGCGATCTAACACAAAGTCCTCATCCGGGGTGTTCTGAGGAGGGCGTTGGTGATGAGAAAGAAAAGAAAAATCAAGCTATGTTAAGACATAAATACATACATACGGTAAAGTTAAAGGGACCCCTGGCCATTAGGTCCAGTTGTGGACGACTCTGGGGTTGCGGCGCTCATCTCGCTTTATTGGCTGAGGGAGCCGGCGTACAGCTTCTGGGTCATGTGGCCAGCTTGACTAAGCCGCTTCTGGCGAACCAGAGCAGCGCACGGAAACGCCGTTTACCTTCCCGCCGGAGCGGTACCGATTTATCTACTTGCACTGGGATGCTTTCGAACTGCTAGGTGGGCAAGAGCAGGGACCGAGCAACGGGAGCTCACCCCGTCGCGGGGATTCGAACCACTGACCTTCTGATCGACAAGTCCTAGGCTCTGTGGTTTAACCCACTGTACCACCCATACATGCATAAACCTTCCATTGCTAGGAGCTCTCAAATCTCTTTGATTTGAGGAATTAGCTGGTGGAAAGTGCAGCCATCAGTCCCAGACAAGGTGACCATGTGTGCAGTGCACAAGATTTTGGCAGGGGTAACTTTTTGGGGGGGTCTCAAAGGCATAGGGGAACCTCCTTGCCAAAATATGCTGCCTCTCCAACCTTCTCCATCTGCTCTTTCCAGCCCCGGGTCCTTCTCCCCATCTGCCTCCACTCGAAATCAGGTTGCCAACTTTTTAGGAGCGGAAACGTGGCTCTGCTCCTCCGCCTTTAAGTGCAGAAACGAAAGGGGAGCTTTGCTCATCACATCTTTCCGGGCCAGAAAAAAGCTCCCATCTGTTTAAATTTCCTCTGTGTCGGGCTGCTGCTTGCTACATGCTTCGGAGCAGAGCCAGAGGGGAAAGTTGGCAATCCTGCCTCTCGTGCCCCCTCCTCATCCCATCCTGCTTTGTCTAGCTGGAGTTTTAGACTGGATCTTCAGCTTCTCACTGCAGTCTCTTCCTCCCTGGTCTCCCAGCTTCTGTGAATAATGACCCCCTACCAAACTTAATTGGATTGCCCCCATTTCTATTCCTGGCAAAACTCCAGCCAACATAAGGATTGCTCTGCGGCTGGTAGCATCTAATCCAGATTCCTCCAGGACACTTAATGGCCCAGGCATGATGGATTGCTTTGTCCCCAGTGCCTGCCACTCCAAGGTAGACTGCCCCTTGACTATGGAGGCTCCATCTCTCAAGGGGGGATAATAGCTCCTGATAGCCCTCGCTTTTGTGGGTTGGTTTTTTTGTCTGTTTCCATTTTGAAAAGCTCTCTGGGCCTCTGGCAATCACTCTGAAGTGAGAGCCGTGAGTTTAATTATACATCATTTGAAGAAGTGCTTCCATCATCGGTCCTGAATGAGCCTCCTGCCAATCAATTTTCATATGGCGATCCGAGAATGATGGGAGAGAGAGAGAGAAATGTCCGCTTATCTGATTGTTTTTATCAGTGGCATCAAAGGCAGAAATCCAACAGGCGAAGCCTTCCTCCATTGCAACACCTCTCCTTTTTTTAACACGCCGGTGTGAGAAGCGTCTCTCTAGAAACGTCTACAGTCTCCTCCACCGTGTTCAGGAAATAATTCAGCTCAAAGATGCTTGACCAGGAGGGGAGTTGATAGAAGGAGGACATGTGGACCCTTGCTAAAGCAGCTGCGCTGGCTGCCCATCTACTACCAATCAGGTTTTGAGGTTATTGCATTAATTTACAAAACCCTGATCAACTTAGGTCCAAGGGTTCAGGGACCTCCTGAACCCTTTTATCCCAATTTGATCCCTGCAGGAACGTTGTTGGTCATCCATAGAGCTGGTGAGGCTCGGTTGACCACAATGAGAAACCGAGCCTTTATTGGCCTTGGTACACTCCTGCGGAACTCTCTGCCACTGGAAATTCAGCAGGCATCTTCCTTGCCAACTTTTAAATGCCTGCTGCAAACCACCAGGCCTATGCAGACAATTAATAACATATCCTTTCACAGTGGTTAATTGAGGTCTGCTTTTAACGCCTGATCTTGTATGGTTTTATGTTTTCATTTCTGCAAACTGCTTTGTTTTGCTTTTTAATCACGCAGGGCATAGACATTATATGTATATATAAATAAATGAGTAAACTCCTTGGTCGTTGAATGGGCTGTTGCTGGGTGGTGGAACTTCTGATGATGCTTACCGTATACATGCAGCGCTCCTGAACAGCTGGCTTGGGTTCAAGCCCCGGCAGATACTTGCTCACAAAATCCTGTAGGATGAGGAGGTCAGGAGCAGAATAGCCTGGCTGGTCAGGATGGTCGGGGTCCACGGGGGTGCCATAATGGTAGCAGACCTGTGGAAGGCAGGGGGAGAGCCAAGCTGCAGATCCACAGGGCAGCAGTCAGGAGGTGCCGGGTTCAATTCCAGGTATCTCCAGCTAGGGCCGAGGAAGACCCCTGTCTGGAGTCCTGGAGAGCTGCTGCCAGTCAGTGTGGGCAGCCCTTAGCCAGATGGCGAGTCAGCCCATGGTCTTTCTCATTTTAAGGTAGCTACAGAGGTAAGACTGAGCTGGGGCAGAAATTCAATCCAGTTCACATTGAAAAGAGAACTTTCCTAATTCACTACACAGACCTTCCTCTCCGCTGCTCCAGAACCCAAACCAATGAATTCATATTGCAGGAAACGAGTTTCTGGCATTGATTTAACTTATTTCATACAATTTATATACTGCTTGATTGTAGAAAAAACACCTTAGAGCCATTAAACATTAGGAAGAACTTTCTGATAGCAAGAGCTGTTTGACAATGGAACGGAGTAGCCGGGATGAGGCTGGGCGCTCCCTCCTTGAAAGGTTTTAAACAGAGGCGAGATCACCATCGGTCAGGCCTTGTTTAGCTGAGATTCCTGGGGTTAGACTAGATGGCCGTGGGGGTCCCTTCAAACTCTACAGCTTTGGATTCTATGGAAACAGCAGCCATCCTTTGAAATCCATGCTTGAGTTTTGCAGTGCAGTTTTCCCAGGGGTCAGCAAATATTTTCAGCAGAAGGCTGGTCCACTGTCCCTCCTCAGACCTTGTGGGGAGCTGGACTATATTTTTTGGAGGGAATGAATGAATTCCTACACCCCACAAATAACCCAGAGATGCATTTTAAATAAAAGCACACATTCTGCTCATGTAAAAACACACTGATTTCTGAACCGTCCGCGGGCTGGATTGAGAAGGCGATTGGGCCGGCTCCGGCTCCCGGGCCTTAGTTTACCTACCCATGAGTTTTCCAGTTAAGGAGCATAAACCGAGGGACGCATGCTATTTTGTGAACTGCTCTGATGTCTTCGGATGATATATAAATTTAATAAATAATAAGGCAATAACCTGCTAGAGTGTGCATGAGAGAAATCTACACGGAAACGCCAAAATTTAGAAGCAAATACATGGCAAACTGATGCAGAAATGTGGAGAATTGGGAAGCCTCTGCCGACTGCCTTTGTGTCCCTGATCTCGCCTCCTTCCCCACCGCCACCAGGCCCCTTCCTCTCACCTTGACAAGACCTGGGTACTCGCCAGCCGGCAGCCCATAGAGATCTCGCTTCTCCCCGTTCAGGTTGATCCCGAGGAAGCAAGGCAGCTTCTCCAGGAGGCTTGGGGGGCTCCCAGCTTTTGCCCTCCAGTAGCAGACAGTGATACGCAGAGGCTGGAGGGAGGAGGGAACCACAACATAAAAATGGGGCTTCTTCTGTGCCACCTGCCTTCCTTCTGGCCAGCGTGGGGGGACGACATGTCAGGGCCTGCCGCTTACCTGGAGAGGCAGGTGCAGCCCCAACGGGGCCAGGAGGCGGCTGGCCCAGGCTCCTGCCGTCACTACGAGGTGTTTGGCACGATACTCCCCTTGGCTGGTGGTCACTGTGATCACGGCCCCAGGAAGGATCCCGTGGACCTTCTCTCCATCACGGATGGTCCCTCCGTAGCGTTGGAACTGGTCCTAGAGGGGAAAGTGGGGAGAGTGGTCATTTGGGGGGGAGATATTTGGGTCAGGCTCTGCCCCCTCCTGCCATTAGCTAAGAGTGTGTGGCTGTGTCTCTGACCCTGCCCACTGAGGCTGCGTGGGCTTTGGCCCCCGCCACCCAAAAGAAAAGGTTTCCCACCTTGCAAGAAGTTTTGTAAGGTGTGTTATTTAAAGTATTGCAAAAAAGATAATGAGGAGAATTATAAGTTAAGGGTAATTAAGGTAAAGGTAAAGGGACTCCTGACCATTAGGTCCAGTTGTGGGCGACTCTGGGGTTGCGGCGTTCATCTCGCTTTATTGGCCGAGGGAGCTGGCGTACAGCTTCCGGGTCATGTGGCCAGCATGACTAAGCCACTTCTGGCGAACCAGAGCAGCGCACGGAAATGCCCTTTACCTTTCTGCCAGAGCGGTACCTATTTATCTACTTGCACTTTTAAAAAAATATATATATAATTTTTATTAACAGGCCAATCAAATCACATTAATTCCAAATCACATTAATTCCAAATTATACAGCCAGATTTTTAAATTTTTGTTTGGGGTACCCATACTTCAAGCTCCGAAAGGGGTCCAAACATCACTCATGTTGCTGCTTTAACTAAACAGTTCTATCCAGTTCTGTCCAGATAGTCTCTTTGTTACTTTCCTCATCTTCTTGTTGTTATCATATATTCCTTTCTTTGCGATCTCTGATAATCTTCACAAGCGGGTTGAAAACAAACATCCTCTGTGTGGGTTTTACACTCTCCAAAAGTCATATCACATAAAGAACAGACACCATTTCCACACCTCCGTATAGAACATTCCCTCCGTCTGTCCATTGATTTCTCCAAGCTTGCCAAACATATCTCAGGGGGCCCTGCCAGGTCAAGATCACATTCCGATAACCATACATTCACATTCCGATGACCCTGGTCCTCCTCCCCCTTGTCCTTCTATGGGCAAGCCTGTCTTAGCGAAACACCATTTGTAACTGCGTCATAAAACTTTCTTTCCATTCCCCGATGTTTCTACCAGTCCTCTCTCTGATCAGTAATTCATTTCCACACAGATCTTGATCTCCTGGTTGTGATTAATAATTAGCAACGATTCTTCTCTCTGGAGGGGAGGGTTATTGGTACTCACATAAGACAAAAAAAGAAAAGTTTTTTCCTCCCCCCTTTCCGTTTCACTCCAACATACCAGTCTTTTAATGATGATTCTTCACTTGATTTATTGTTCAGCCCGTCGCTCCGCTCACAGAGATCCATTAATCAGCAGTCTTTACTCCCGATCTTCACTTGATGTATGTGCATTAGCTTCTTTCCAATTATATATTTCCAATTATATATTTCGAGCTAATGCGAACCAGTGCACGAATTAGAGACAGCATCAGGGAGAGCCAGCCTCACTCGAGGGCTTTGTGCCAAGTGCCCACACCCCCTTCTTTCGAATCCGGGGGTGAATTATGGACACAGCTGGCAAGGCAGTCCCCCCCCCATTCCCTTGGGGGGGTAAGGGAGGCTGCATACTCCCATATCAGCCTCTTAATTACCTCGTGTGGGTCGGAGACATGTTATTGCCGGCCATCTTCCAATGCGCCCCCTGGTGGCCCCCCTTATCTACTTGCACTTTGATGCGCTTTCAAACTGCTAGGTTGGCAGGAGCAGGGACCGAGCAATGGGAGCTCACCCGTCGCAGGGATTCGAACCACAAACCTTCTGATCAGTAAGTCCTAGGCTCAGTGGTTTTGACCACAGCACCACCCACGTCCCTTAAGGATCATTAAAGGTAATAGGAAATTTAAAAATGCATAATAAGTGAGAAAGAACAGAAAATCATCAGAGGGGTTGATGGAAGTCCTAAAATATTGTCTAAGATGAGAAGTTATGTTGTATGAATTTTGGAATTGATATGTTAAAAAACCAATAAAAATGTATAAAAGAAAGGAAAGAAAAGGTTTTCCACCTCTGGCTTTGGGTGTAAGTAAAGAAGACAGGCCCCTGCCTGCAAGGAGCTTACAGTCAAGAGTTCTGGTGATGAGGGAGCAAAGGGAGAATGTGAGAGGCAAGAGTGAGAACAAAAAGAACTGGGATGAAATCTCTCTCTCTCTCTTGCCACACCCTTGTTACCTGGCCAGCTTTTACCGCCTTGTCAGCAAACAAGATCCCGGCGGTGTGATCACACACAGCCACCTCTCCGCCACGCAGGTGGATTCCTGGGAATCTTTGGGCCAAGCTCTCTGCTGTTAGTGCTTCGCTGGGGACGTGATTGCGCTGCATGGCGTCCCAGAACCTTTGAAACGCAGGGTTGTCCTTGCGCCCCAGAACCAACATTGGTGTTTGCCTGTAAGGAGAGAGGATGGGTTTGCAGTTGAAGCTGCTGGAGTGACCTTGGAGGAGGCTGGCTTTCTGTGGGTGGGGAGAAGAAGCTTATGGGGTTAGGATCATATAACTGGGGAGTTGAAAAGGAACCCCAAGGGCCATCTAGACCAACCCCCAGCAATGCAGGAATCCCTGGCAGGTGGCCATCCAAGCTCTGGAGTCCACTGCCAAACACCTCTTACTGTCAGAAAAGTCTTTCTAATGTTTAGTTGGGATCTTGACATTTGAGTCCATCAGTTTGGGTCTTACCCTCTGGAGCAGTAGAAAACAAACCTGCTCCATCTCCCATGGAACAGCCCTTCAGATATTTGAAGATGGCTCTCACATTCCTTCTCAGTCTCCTCTTTTCCAGGCTAAACATACACACTCCTTCAACTGTTCCTCATCAGGCTTGGTTTCCAGACCCTTGATCATCTTGGTCACCCTCCTCCTGCTTGTCGACATCCTTCTTAAATTGTGGTGCCCAGAACTGGAGACAGGACTCCAGGTGTGGTCTGACTAAGGCAGAATAGAGCAGCACTCTGCCTTCCTTCAGTCTGGACACTAGACTTCTCTTGATGCAGCATAGAATCAAGAGCTGAAGACCATCTGAGGTCACCCCCCAAGGCTGGTGAGGAGGAATGTGGCCTGGGGAGTGGCCTGAGGTCAGGATACAGGGGTCTGGGGGGTGCATTTGCCCCCTGGGCCCAGAGGTTCCCTGCTCCTGCACCAAAACACAGCGGGAAAGGTTCTGTCCCCACAGTTGCTGCCGGTCAGAACAGGCAACACTGGCCAAGGTGAACCATCGCCCTGAAACTGCTCATGGAGGCAGCTTCCTAGAGAGGCGTTGCCAGCCGGTCCTCACAAACAGAGCTGGCGTCAGGGAGACGGTGCCAGCCCTTCCCTGGGCCTGTCGCTAACAAGATGGATGGGTCTATTACGTCTGACCCTGGCGAAATGAAAAATCATTTAGACGTGCATTTCCTTAATGGCGCTTCCTTTATAGAGTCACATAAATTACAGGGGGAATCTGTCTTGGCTCTCAGTGGGGCAGGGAGCGTGTCGGAGGGGCAGGAGGAGGGGGGAAGAGGGATCTAGAGTCAGGTCTGGGGGGGGAGAAAATATGCTGCTTTTGGAGAGAGGGAATGTAGAATGCAGTGGCAGAACATCTGCTTTGCATGCAGAAGTCCCTGCTTCAATCCCCCATGGCGTCTCCAGGTAGATCTAGGGAAGACCCCCTGCCCGAAATCCTGGAGAGCTGCTGCCAGTCAGTGCTGACAATACTGAACTAGAAGGACCAATGTGCTGTCTCAGTATAAGGCAGCTCTCAAGTTAAGTCACAGAGAGTCATGAGGACTAGAACCTTGCGTTGTTTTAAGGTGAAAGGCAGTGGTATTTCTGGACTTGGGCTTGGGGAGAGACCCCCTGCAAGAAACCCCCTTCCAATCAGTGTAATTAGTAGAGTCTCCAGAGTGAGATGGACCCAGGGGTCTGACTCGCTAGGAAACTGATTCCTCTGTTACCATTTTAACCATTTATCACGAGGACTTAAGAGCAAGGCAGAGTCCTCTGTTCCAGCCTATTTTGCTGATGAATCACTTCCAACAAGGACCTTTGACAGTGCAATAAAAAAACCAAACGTATCAAGCAATTGCATATTTGGAATCAACAAGGAAAGTGCCGTATGTGTAGAGAGTTGAAACAGTTCCATATAAAAAATCATGTATACTATTGCACGCCATCCAATCTCTGAGCGGTGTGAGATTTCGGGGGTTCCAGGGCTTGTGATTCCTTTTGGGATTGCGGCATAGCCAGCGGAGCCTGTGGTGTCTTTAGGATATATGGTTCATTGGCACAACCTGAGTCTGCGATGGAGGGGTTCACAACATGAACATCCCAAAAGGGTCTCGTTTCTCCCACAGCCACAGCTGTCAGGAGTGTGTGCTGGAGCCAGGCCCTGTGACCAGTAGGACTTTGCAGGACAGGGGCCTTCCTAAGTTTGTTCTGAAGAGGCAAGGTGTGGCCGCACAGGTGAGGCTGATTGGTAACTCACAGCACCTGGTGGCAAGAGCCGGGAAGGGATATACGGTCAGCATTTCCCTTCGGCTCTTTGCCACAGCAACACGCTTCCTGCCTTGCTGCATCTGGCTTCTTGCTTCCTGATCCGTGAATCTCGGCTTCCTGACCCTCAGACCCTTGACTTCTTGACTCCCAGCTCTCTGACCCTCAGACTTCCTGACTCCTGGCTTCTGCACCCCTGTTCCTGCTCCCACCCTGCCATCTTGCCCCCGGTCCTGACATCCCCTGCCGGGACTTTGCTCGCCTGTGAACCAGACCGTGGATTCAAATCAAACCTCATGCTCTGCCTCTTCAGTTTTTCCAGCTCGCTGCTTTACTGCCAACTCAACTCTCTGGTTTCTGTCCTTCTAACTAACTGCAAACTGGGAGGCCGATCCATTTGGCGTCTGGCACAGAGCCCCCTCTCCTTTGCTCTCTTAATGTCCCATCACCCAGGTGATCACCTGAAGACAGAGAGCTGGCCTGGCTTGATTAGCTGTTAACACTCGCTGGATCCAGGAATTTAGCTACGCCCAGGAATACCTACACACACACTTAAAAGGCCCTGCTTGCTCCTTCGGCGATGCTTGTGAGGAACCAGCCCAGGCACAGGCAAACTCGGCCCTCCAGATGTTTTGGGACTACAACTCCTATCATCCATAGCCAACAGGACCCGTGGTCAGGGATGATGGGAGTTGTAGTCCCCAAATATCTGGAGGGCCAAGTTTGCCTGTGCCTGAACCAGCTTATCACTCTGCTATGATTCCTGCATTGCAGGGGGTTGGAATGGATGACCCCTGGAGGTCCCACAATTCTATGAATACACAAACAAAGACATATGTGCATATACATTATATACCATTTCAAATACGCCTGAAGCACAACCACAGAGGGACCCCACTTCCCCTCCTCAGAAGAGCGCCCCCCTTCGGTCCCCCCATTTCTTCCCGGAGGCTCCTCACCTGTGGAGTTTGGTGCCTGCCTCTTCCTCCAGCTCTGCCCAGAGGCGATAGGCCTCTCCCAACATGGCCGTGTAATAGTCCTGGGGGTAGGCGCTGCGGATGATTCGGCTCTGTCCATGGGAGCTTCCTCGGGTGTGGGGCAGGGGGAACTTGTAGGGCAAGAGAAAGAGAAGGAGGCAGCCTGAAACCCCAATGGTCTGACTCAGTAGATGGCCGCTTCCGGCGTTCCAGCAGATGGGGGCCTGTTTTATTCCATTACAGCTGAAGTACTCTCATTTTAACAGATAAGCTGGCCTGAAGGACTTTTTATTTACAAAGGTGGGATGTAAAAGTTATAAAATATACATATATCGGTGTGGGGATGCATTGAAGCAGCAAGTAAGCAAGTGAGAGGACTCTGTACTCCCGGTGGAGTACAGGATCAGGTTTAAGGGGCTGGTTTTGACCTTTAAATCTCTATACGGCCTAGGACCCTCATACCTACGGGACCAAGTCTCCTGGTTTGTCCCACAGAGGACCTTACAGTCTTCAAACAAAAACATCTTGGAGGTCCTGGGCCACAGGGAGGTTAGGCTGGCCTCAACCAGAGCCAGAGTTTTTTGGCCGTGGCCCCGATCTGGTGGAACGCTCTGTCACAAGAGACTAGGGCCCTGCGGGACTTGACATCTTTCCGCGGGGCCCACAAGACAGAGCTGTTCCACCAGGCCTTTGGCCAAAGCACAGCCTGACCCCCTCCTTCTGTAATCCTCACAGAACTCTAGCCCAATGGTTGCCATTAATTTGATTTTGAATTGATTTTAGAATGAATTGATTTTAGAATGCTGTGTTACTTTTATTGTTGTTAGCCGCTCTGAGCCCGGCTTCGGCTGGGGAGGGCAGGATATAAATAAAAATTATTATTATTATTATTATTATTATTATTATTATTTTATTATTATTATTATTATAAAAATATTCTCCCCACCCCCACCTGGTGTCCCAGAGACAGATTGCTTTCAAGTGGGACAGGGAACCTAGAATCCTCAGACGTTGTAAGACCACAGCTCTCTTCATCTCTGACCATTGGTCATGCTGGCTGGGAGCGGGTGCTGACGAGAGCCAGAATCCAACCCCATCTGGAGCATGACAGGGTCTCCAGTTTCAGCGTTAATAAAGCCGCTTGATTCTCCCTTCCCTTGGGAAACACACACAAGGACCAAATAAATTAAGACATAAATCAGAGAAGAGAGTCGTTGCTGCCGGCCAGTGTGAACAATACTGAGCAAATGGACTGGTGGTTTGAACTGGCTTAGGGCAGCTTCCTGAGTGCCTGGTATTGTACAATGAGGGAGGGGGCTGCCTATGTGGGATAAAATGCCCCCACCCCCTGGCCTTTGGGACGGTAGCAGCATTTTCGGAGGGGTTTGTGGGTGGGTGTTTGCAAAGGGGCATACCTGCTCCAGCAAGAGGGTCTTCTGCCCCCTCTTTGCCAAGTGGTAGGCAGCAAAAGTGCCCTGGATCCCTGCTCCCACCACGATGGCGTCGTAGAAGCGGCTGGGCCCAGCTGTCTCTGGGGTAGCCATAGCCGATCTTTCTCCCCGACCAGGCTTTGCTCCTCTCTGTGGGGAGCTGAGCCAAGGGGCAGAGACAAAGTCCAGAGTCCCAACTTGGACGCCACTCAGTAACGAGAGAGGAAGCTGTTTACAAGGAGTTGGGCTGTTGGCCCAGCTGGGCACAGTACTTTGTACACGGACAGGGAGAAGTTCTCTGGGGTTTCAGGCCCCCCCCCCCGGGGGTCTGGACCTGGAAGACTCTGCATGCAAAGCTCTATACCACTGGGCTGTAGTGCTGCCCCTGAAAATAAAAGAAGGTTCCAGTCCTCATGGAGGAGCATGAGACTCTTAATTTCAGATTTGTGGGTTTGAGCCTCAAGTTGGGTAAAGGATTCCTCCATGCAGGGGTTTGGACTAGATGACCCTCGTGGTTCCTTCCAACTCTACGATTCTGTGATTCTTTGACTTAAGCCAGGGGTCAGCAACCTTTTTCAGCTGTGGGCCGGTCCACCGTCCCTCAGACCATGTGGTGGGCTGGACTATATGGGGGCGGGGGATGAATGAATTCCTATGTCCCACAAATAACCCAGAGATGCATTTTAAATAAAAGGACACATTCTACTCATGTAAAAACATGCTGATTCCCGGACTGTCCGTGGGCCAGATTGAGAAGGCGATTGGGCCGGATCTGGCCCCCGGGCCTTAGTTTGCCTACACCTGACTTAAGGGCTGGTTTAAACAGGGACACAGGAAGCTGCTTTTTACTGAGTCAGACTATTGGGCTATCTAGTTCAGTAATGTCGACACTGACTGGCAGCTTAGACGGCTTTAAAAGGAGCATGAGGCAAATTCTTGGGAGGGCAAAATCTATCAGTGGCCAACTGGTCATGACAGCTAGACTGAACCTCCAGGAGCACAGGCAGTGAGTACAAATTGCTGGGGAACCAAAGGCGGTCAGGGCTGGCGACTTTGTGCCTTACTTGTGGGGCAGACAAATCTGTCAGGTTTGTTTGTTTCTCTTGAGTTTCTTATTTTCTTATTTCACACACAGACACACACACACACTCCTAATACAGAATTATGGACTTGTACTGTTGGAAGGGCACCCCAGTGGTCATCTATCCCAACCCCCCTCTCAATGCAGGAATCACAGCTAAAAGAATCCCCAACAGCTGGCCATCCAACCTCTGTTTAAAAACCTCCAGTTTATATTCATTTCACTACGCATTTTTTTGACTGAGGTGCTGACTTGCAAAGTTCAGAGTGCGAATTCTGAAGGGATTGTCGCGCTCCACCTTGCGTAGTGCATTAAGATGCGCGCCAAACTGAATTTCTCCCCACCACATCCCTACCCAGTGGGCTTCCCATCGGGGCACTGGGTTGGCTGCTTTGGCAAAGCAGGTTTGCGGGGTCAGACCAGCCTTTGGCTTGATCCTGCGGGGGCTCTTCAGATGCTCCCTGGACCAGACAGAAGCAAACAGCCCCAGCGCTGTGGATCCCAGACTTGCTGGCGCAGCAAAAGCATCACCAGGTCTCGGAGGCAGGCAGGTGGGCGATGCCCCAAGGAACTGCCTGGATGAGATGATGGATTAGGGCCCTCCTCTCTCTCCACCTGCGCCTTTTGGCCTGTCAACTCTCCTCCCCGTGGTCCAGCGGCTCCATCTGTTAACACCTCCACTCCTGCTCTGGGGACTGGGTTATTATTTTTTCCTCCTGCGTTTGTACCAACCAGGCCTGCCAAGCAGAGCACACCGGGCACCGAGCGACCGCCTTGGCAGCCGGTCTGTTGCAGCAAACTAGGCCAAGCGAGACGCAGTCCCCCACCCCCCTTGGTCCGAGTTAAGTTGCAGCACAAATCCTGGAGTCCAGGAGGGAGGTTTAACTTGTATTGATTTATTTGTTTCCTATAACTTAGACATCGCTTGATTGCTTTTAACAAATTTTTAAAAAAGACTCAAGAGCAGTTTACGAAAAAGAGAAAAACTATAAAGTTACTGGCAAGGAGAATTAATGGCAATTTAAGACTTGCAAAGAGTTAAAATAACAAGAAATAAACTCTCACCAGCTTTCTAAACATCTGGGCAGGCTCGACTAAAGGAAAACATTTTCAGCAGGCGCTGAAAAGAGGGCAGAGAAAGTGTCTGCCTGGCATCCATAGGCAGGGAGTTCCAAAGTGTAGTGCCTGGAGACAGATTCAGGCTTGGCAGATAGTGAAATCACCCTTCCCAAAAGACAGCTGGTGGCTGCAACTGAGGCTTCCTTGGAGCACAGGGATGTAAGAAGGTGCCTGGTTCATCTGGTTCAGTATTGCCTGCACCGACTGGCAGCGCCTCTCTGGGGTTTCAGCGTTTCCCAGGCCTGCCTGGAGATGCTTGTGAGCATTGAATCTGCGACCTTCTGCATCCAAAGCTGGCATTCTACCACTGAGCTATGAACCTTTCCGTGAACATCATGTAAGATTCTAGTCCTCATGAATTTGAATAAAGGGCTGAATGGAATAGAAACACAGGAAGCTCTTCCTTATACAGAGACAGGGCCCTGGTCCATCTAGCCCAGTACTGGCCACACTGACTGGCAGCAATGGCTCTCCAAGGTTTCAGGTGGGATATTGCCCCCCCCAGCCCTACTGGTGATGCCATTGGGGTTTGAACCTTGGACCTGCTGCATGCCAAGCAGATTCTCTGCCAGAGTGACAGCCCAGTACAAGGTCTCTTGCCCACCCTGGCATCTGGAGTGCTGAAACAGCAGCCTGCCAAGTGCTGGGAACTCTGGGAGATGTAGTTTTAGTCAGATTAGCCTCAACCAGAGCCAGGGGCTTTTCAGCACTGGCCCCGGCCTGGTGGAACGCTCTGTCTCATGAGACCAGGGCCCTGCAGGATCTGATTTCTTTCCACAGGGCCTGTAAGACAGAGTTGTTCTGCCTGGCCTTTGGCTTGGAATCAACTTGATCCCCTTCCCCTCTTTCCTTTTTCCTTTCTCCTTCTGTGGCGGAACTCCTATTTGGGGGCTTCCCTGGCTTTTTTCTGGCCCATGTAGGACCAGTCTGGACAGTTGGCCTTGGTGAAGACTTGACATTTTCATCCCCCCAAAATTTTTTGATTTGAGTTTCCATTGAAATGAGGCTGTATTTTAATGTATTAATAATAATAATAATAATAATAATTTATTACGGCCGTAGGCCCATACAGATAAAAACAAGACATAAATAACAGCCTGTGCACATGGGAAAAAAACAGCCGCTAAAACACTACTATAACAATAAGCTACTATAAGATGGAATGGCATACTACGCCTTAATTAGCTTGTGGTGCTCCTTGGCGACGCTTTTGGGTAAGGACAGCGACCAGGAACCTAGCCACTTTCAGGGTCGTATGGGCATCCTTATCCTGCAAGATTTGGGCAAGGTGGAATTTTGGTGGAGTACCCTCTAATTTCTGTATGATTGATCCCAACAAGTTTGCCCGTGGCACCTTAAATAAGGGGCAAGTGAACATAATGTGCTGAAGCGACTCCGGCATCTCCTTATCACATTCGCACATGGCGGAGGTTTGGCCCTTTGAGAATCTATGTCTCAGGACATTGGAGGGAAAACATTAAACCTCGCTTTGGTGAAGGCCAGCCTATGGGCAACAGTCGAAAGGGAGGAGAGGTATGATGGAACGCAATAAGTTAAAGTGATACCAATGTTCTGGGGCGAACAAACACCTCCCCCCAGCATATAATTTTGCTGTAAATCGATGTCATCCAGTCTTTGGCGGATCAGTCTTTGAGCAGTGATTTGATCTAGTTTTAGGGAATCTAAGGGAGAGATTCCATAGCTCAGGAGTTTGGCATGAATTCTACTGGTCCAAAGGCTGGGGAATTCATCTCGCCATAAGCATTGGGCAAGGTAATGGTCTGGTAATCTATGCCACAATGATAACCAATAATTGAAGACTTGCTTCCACAGGCAGGTTTCTAAGGATGCGATCCTCAATTCTAAACGCATGGCTGCGTTGCTTACGCACAGGGGGAGCATTAGGAGCCGACGTAGGAATTGGTTTTGCAAAGTCTCAAGAGGAGCAAGGTCTGTCATCACGACCCAGAGCGGGGCAGCATAAGCAAGCACGGGAACCACTTTTGCCTTGAACACCTTTAGGGCCGAGGGAACATGCAAAGCTCCATCCGAAAAGAAAAATCGGAGGAGCGCATATGACAGAGTTTTGGCCTTATTAAGTAGGTGTTGAATATGTGCTTTCCACCCCAAATTGTATTGAAAAATAACTCCTAGGTATTGAAATTTTAGGACTTGCTCTATTTTTGCTCCACCAAGCTTCCATTCGTATAATCTCCGACTTCTGGCGAAAATCAGAATCTTAGATTTAGCATGATTGATGGTTAATTGGTTGAGTTGACAATACGTGGCAAAGATCTTCAGAGCTCTGGTTAGTCCAACACGTGTATAAGATAGAATTACCGCGTCGTCCGCATATAAAAGGAGTGGACAGCGGTAATCCGCTAGTCTAGGCGCATGTGTACTTGGAGATGAGTTGACTAGGGGTGCTCGCATGTCGCTGATGAATAGATTGAATAGGCAGGGGGCCAATATACATCCTTGGCGCACTCCCTTGTTTATTGGTATCGAATTTGTGAGGTCGCCCGCAGGAGTAAGTCTCACTCTGGCAAGGGTACCTTCGTGGAGCTGACTTATAAGCCATAAGAGCCTTCTATCGATGCCCTGTTTCGCAAGTTTCTCCCAAAGAATATTTCTAGGAACGCTGTCGAAGGCTGCCTTAAGATCTAAGAAGGCAGCACACAGATAGCCCCGGGAGGGGAGGAGTACTTCCGTGCCAGATGGTAAAGAACTATCGCATGATCAGTTGTAGAGCGTTTAATTCTGAACCCTGCTTGTTCGTGGCCAATCTGGTTAGTCTCATCTACCCATCGCGATAGTTTCGTCAGCAAAAAGCTGGCATAAATTTTCCCTATGATCGAAAGGAGGCTGATGTTACGGTAATTTTCCGGCTCCATTGGAGAACCTTTTTATGAATTGGTACTATAATGGCCTCCTTCCATATTTTGGGGATGATACCAGAAG